GCCTCGTCTGAGGTCCTTGAGCTGGGCTAGGACTTTGATCATGGCGGTCAGACTGTTTTCAGCGAGGTTTTTGGGGTGGTATTCAGTGAACCTCTCGGTGAAGCTGGTGTGGTAGGTTGGCACATCGTCCTCATACTCCTGATCACCGGGGTTCTAACGAGAAGAGGTTTACCTATTAGTATAACGGTTGTCCTGGGGTTTTCGTGGTGAGGGAACTCACAATGTCACAGATGATCAGCTGATCTTTCTCCACGGTCAACACAGGCTCACTCCCCTTCACTACGCAAGTTATGCGCGCCTTGCGTAGGATGGGTAGCTTCATGCTCTCCCGTTGCGCTTTCAAGACGATCTTCTTGATATCGTCAAAGGTATTGGTCGGCACATCCGGAAGAAACTCGGCACACGCGAGACGTTGGACATCACGCCAGTCGCAACTCTTATTTTCTGTAACTCCTGATAACGCATTGGGTTCCTTGGCTGCCAACGTGTATAGTCCGTTGATGAACGAATCGAGAACCGAAGTGAAGGCAAGAACCGAGGTATACGAGCTGTCGAGAGCAAGGAGCAACAAAATTGCCGCCACTCTACCAGTGTCGCCTTTCTGTTGTTGCAAGACCTGTTGAGAAACTTCCAGACCGAGCTCGCTCATTGGGTTGTTGTCGCCGGCTGCAGATCTCCAGAGCCATGATCCAACACTCTGGAGCGCCCGTGTGAGACGGAACTTCTTCACTTCGGCAACGTTCCCCTCGTTGAGCGTCAGGTCGAAGAGGAAGCTTATTGAGTCTTTGAACATCTTGCGCCGTTTTGGAAGTTTGGTCTCGTCGGCGTTGTACGAAAAGTAGAGATGGCAGTTGGTGATATGCTGGTAAATCTCGTTCTCTGAGTACTTCGCATGCAGGTTCTTTTCCGACTTCACGAGATGTCCGAATCCAAGAAAGTCAGCAACATACCGAGTGACAACGGGGATGGCAAAGTCTCTGGTGACATCGAGCTGATAGATCGGGTCGACTTCCGAATTTTTTTGTCCCGGTTTCATCACGACAGATCCACGCCTAATGATATCTCTCATGAGGTTGGTGAAGTATGTCATCAAGTCGTCGGTATCAGTGTCAATCTCTTTCCGGTGTTCGCCGTGTGACTTTCTACCGTTGGCCGTGTCTTCTTGTTCGCGCACAGCCAGAACCTCGGCGACCTTGGCGGGGAGAATCTCGGGCTCCAGACGGACTGGATGGACAATGTTGTCCGTATCGTCTGTAAGGACTGCCATGATCTGACAAGGATCAGTGAGAATTTTGGGCTCGACAGGCTTGCGAGGATTTGAGGCTGAAGTGTCGAACGTCTTCGTGACCGTTGCTGGTCCGGACCAGTTTCGTTCAGACTTCTCCACAGTATGTTTAATGGCAAAGTCTTTGTCGTAGCCCTGCGCCGTTGCGTACTCGGCATTCTTCTGGGCTGTGTAGAAGGGATGGAAGAAGCGGACCGACGTGCTGGGGAACCACTCCGGGAACGACCGTTGCAGAAGTCGATGGAACACAGAGCTCTTGAGCACATCGTTATCTGGGGTTACCTCCTTCATACCCCAGGAAGTGAGCGAGTTCGTGTTCCAATCAAGGGTGTAAAACCGATCCGACCGCACGAGAGTGATAGCATCGGAGAAGATGGCGGCCCACAACGCCGAATCGACGTCACTTGGCCCTGGATCTGCACTTTGGCTCGCGTCCGACTCGCAAAAGACACCAGGATAAAACTCGATCTTATCTGGGTGCTCATAAAGGTCCCGGAGTGCATTCTGAACCTCAACACAGCCTGAGACACTCTCAAACGTTTTGTGACGCTTCATCCCGAAAAACTCACGGAAGTCGTTCAGCGTTCCAACTCCCCACTTGCGCGCCTGGAGGATACCCATGACCTCGACGGCTTTCAGAGATCGAGGTACGTTTCTGGGGCCAAAGTTCGCTATTCCAGCCCATGTTAGCATTAATCCAGCAAACAGAATTGGCGGTTTGTGCACTTACAGATTGGCTCGTCCATCACCTTGGTGAGGTGGTCTACCATTTGCTCATCATTGAACAGCTTGGTGATGGGGTCACGCTTGAAGGCCATCTTCTTCCTGGCTTCGTCTTCGTCCTTGTTTTTGAGTCCAAACTCAATATCACAAGGGTTGACGGGAGGATCATTCTTTCTCCGCTCCCGCGCCTGGCCCATCTCCATGAGGAACTCCTGTAATCCCATTTCCTTTGGGTTCCAGTCTGACCTTGAATGCTTCTCAAAGTACTCCTCCAGATAGTTCTCAAGGTATTCCTCGTCGCCCCGCGAGATGGCGCAGTGGAACCGATAGAGCAGGTTGAACTCAACCGTTACCTGGTTGCCCAGGCCCCGCGATACCTCCTTGGCTTCCGATTGATTCACTCTCGGATCAAGGGTGAAGTTCGTGTCGTACTGGTGGAAGCCCATCAATGCCCTGAGGTAGTCGTGAATGGAGACCTGGATGTAAAGGCCGCATGTGATTAGCCGAGCGGTGTGGAAAAGGTCGTCGTCCAGCTTCTTCCAGGCTGCGTCGTAGCTGTCCTTGAAGGCTTTGACTTGCTTTTCGTCTGGCTGGACCTTATTGATGAAGATATCGAGGGCATTCTCCGCATCTTGGTACTCCTTGGTGCGAACCCGGCCGTTGCTCTCAAATACCTCGTTAGCATATATGAATCTCTTCAGGATTTCCTGGTTGTCGATGTTCTCCAACAGGCTATCTTTGTCAAAGTATTTCGCTGCCGCGATAAACTTGGCCTCCCGGTATTCTCTGGGGACTGAAAAGCGGCCGTTTTCGTTGATGCGCCGAAGTTGTGTTGCTGCGTAGTTGTGGTACCGGTTGTACATGACCAGCATGATACAGACTCCCGGCGGTTGACGAAGCAGTCGGTCCTCTGCAAAGGTGTCTGGCTTAAGCAGGCCAAGGCCATACGTTTCATCACGAACCTTGCGCTGCATCTCCTCTGTGAAGCCGTACAGTGGCGACAGATCGAGGTATGACGACGTATCAGAGATGTTCTTGTCGTTGTCATTGGTGCGGAAGAGATCGTGGATGATGATGGTGGCATGGTATATGAGCATGCTGGACAAGCCTGACTGACTTGGACGGCCATTTTCCTCTCTTGCCATTAACTGGTCGAAAAGGTCTCCTGGATCTGGCAAGGCTCCGAGTGGATGAGTCTTTGCAGGTACAGTTTTGGCGTAAGGAGCTCCGGCTTGGCCGAGGTGTGGGTTGATGGCGCTGTTGAACTTGCCATCGGCGGTCCGGTACTTGAAAGCATCGCCCAAGTAACTCAAGGGTGGGTGAAGCATGCGGTCGTACTTGATCTTGACCTGCTTTTCGATGATATCGGCCCTGGCTACACTGTTGTTCGACACGGCTGCCAGCAACGATGCACCAGCTTTGATGTCGAGGCGACGTTCTTTGAGATAGTTGACCAGGACTGCCACAATGCTGGGTACGTTCTTGAGCTCCAGGATGCTCTTTAGGTCGTCCAAAAGCCCGACCTTGGAAACAACTTTATTCTGCAGCGAGTTAGTTTCCAGGCCACAAAGGCTGGTGTACCTTGAACTCACCCCAATCAGTGTATCGCCGTGAAACCCGGCCAAATACTTTTGCGTGCTCAATGCCTCGTTCAAACTCTCCAGTCGAGCATTGTCAGAGTCTTGGATGGCATGCCCCCGCAGAGGACGTTGCACATCGGACGAAGACATGATGCTCTTGGTGTGCAAAATCCAGTTGGAATACAGAGACTTTGGGCGGCCGGAGTGAACCTGAGAGCGAGAAACGACAGGCTCGTAAAAGTCTCCCTGTTCAGCTACATCAGAGACCAACCGAGTGGACGATGAGCTAAGGTTTTAAAGGCTGCAAGTCCGTCCTGGTCAGGCTGAGGAGTTGTTTGTTCACTTTCAAAATACCTAGCGTCGCAGATACGACATGACATCGAAAGCCGCGTCTCACAAAGGCCACCCAGGAGTACATCTACAACATATTCATCGTTATACTCGTACCCTTATCGTATCAGGCTATCAACACCCTTTTCGGATATTCAAGTCTGCATTTCCGTGGCGCCAACAATCTCATGGCTAATTATCCATTGGCTTGGTGTGCAGGACAGTTCCGGTCTCAGTTTTCGATAACTCGCGAACAAGCCAATGACCGAACAATGTAACACTCCTGCATTCAATGCAGGTCGCCGATACTCTGCACTGCCCACAGTGTTGTTGTGTCGGCAGTTGTGGTTGAGAAAAAGCATTGAGGAAATTGGGTTAGTAGCGCGTACCTTGTACGCAGTCTTTCTCGGGCTTGGTCGGAATGATAAGCTGCAGGTAAGGGGCGCAAGTTGACGACAAGCTGAAGTTGACATGGCCCTCGACGTCGGCCGTAGGTGGCACGGCGACAGCTTGACTCTCCATGCGCCACGAAAGTTGGGTATGTACGCCTAATCACTTGTCAATTACATGCGGCCCTGAGTGTGAATGAGTGCAATAGATGAAAGTTTTGTTCAAATACCTTACCGAATGCCAGGAGACGTCCTTGGTCAATTCCTTTTAGTGCTATGGAGCCATGGGATGGTCCCGGATGGCCTGTTGTTCTCCTCGAGAAACTCCAAGACCTGTGCGTTCATGTTGGCCGGTACAAGAAACGCTCGATAGATCCATTTAAGTCCTCCAGTCCGTGGCAGAATATGGCGGTCTGTAAACCAGTCATACCAATGGTTCCAGGCCTCTGTTCGAGTGAACATCTTTGATGCTTTTACAGCTTGCTGGACCACCGGGTATCTGTCTCTTTGATATAAGCCAAAAGCGGCTTCGATCTTGCCTTGACTGATTGGCGCATCGAGATCGGTTTCGTCTTCCATCAGTGTCCAGAGCTTATTGGTGAGCACAACCACGTCTTGCACTCCCGTGTTCCACCCTTGGCCCGTGTTATAAGTCTGCTTGTTAACAGCATCTCCGACCAGGACAATGCGGCCATGGTAAAAGTGGTGAATCAGACCTTCATGGAGGTCAGTCAGATAGCAAGATGTTTGCGCTTGGTAAAGGTCGTTGAGTGTAAGCGTGGATGTGCAATGGGCATGACCAAGTTCTTCCATGAAGCTCTTCATGTCCTGCTCGGTGTACCGTCGTCGTTCCCGCGTTGGCTCGGGCAGCTTCTGGCTGAACATGAACCATGTCTTCTCGGAGCTGGCGAGCAGGAGCGACGAAATTCCGCTCCCATGCATATGCCACTCATCGCCGGGTTTGATTCCTGGTGGCGGGCTGACTATGTGGCCAAACACGCACCGGTACGTCGCGACAAACGGCTTCTCCTCGTTCAGGGCTGCCTTTGACGACTCTTGTAGTGCGATACGACGCATGCAGTCGCGCACTTTGCTGTGGGCTCCGTCCGCCCCGACCACAATGCTGCCCCTCTCCACGCTTCCGTCGGTACACGAGACCACGACCCCCTCTTCAGTCATCTCGATAGTTTTCACCACTTTGCCGGGGAAAAGATGCTGTCTGATCTCATCAGGAAGAGCACCATACAGCAGTTGCATCAACTCGGGTCGATGCACCATAACCCATCCTGTTCCATGGCTACATCATCATCACTCGGTGTTAGCTGTATCTGCCCAGGAGTAACTCAGACTGCACGCTTTCGGTGCCTTACAATTCAGAGCACCACCCATCTGTGTCGAGAGTCGAAAAACGGGCGCCCGTCACTCGCCACCACCGTCCCGGGGCGCATGTGCCTTCCAATTGCCTCCACCGCCTCAAGGAGACCAAGCTGAGCCAAGAGCTTCAAAGTGTTCGACATGATGGCGATTCTGGCCCCTCCTGCTTCGGGTACAGCAAGGGCATTGTTGCGTTCGAGCAGTACGAAATTGATGCCAGCTCGATAGAAGGTATGCGCTGCCATCAGTCCAACTGGACCACCGCCAATAATGATGGCACGGAGGCGATATGAGGGTGTCATTGCAGGATTGTCAAGGGGGCGAAAGTTATAAATCTGAGATCTGCTGCCAGCATATACCGCACGAAATGGGTTGGACCGCTTTATACTTGACAGAATGTTTGATATCGATCGACCAGGTGACCAGGTTGACCCGTTCTGGGTCGCCGGCCATGCTTCACAGACATGCGAGTCTGGGCGCCAGATCTAATGTGCCTTAGGATGCTCATATCAGTTGTGTCGGACTGAAGAGACTGTACGACGCTGACTGCAGAATCATAGTCGCAGCACAGCAGGCACATGCCATACTTCTCAAAATATATGGCAAGAAGGGGTGCGTCCTATTCGCGCAGTCGGGGCCGCTGTCGGTACAAGCACACCATTATTTTTCAATTTCCGGGATTCCATAGTCCTTCGTCTGTAATCGTATATATCATATTACGTAGACAGTGATCGACATTATCGAGGGCCGACAAGATAAGGATGACTGGTAGAAAGTCGTGGGTCAAACATTTACCGGCCTTATATACATATGGAAAGTTGAACTTATGCATCTTCGGCCTCATGGCGCAACGGTAGCGCGTTCGACTCCAGATCGAAAGGTTATCCGTTCAAATCGGGTTGGGGTCAGCTGTTTTGTTTTTATTTTTATTTTACATTATTTAAACGCCCAGCATACTAAGAGTACTATTCAAAGGGTTCTACGCACTAAAGGCGTGTTTAGACGAACCGGATAAAGTATAAGCGATTTATAAAGTTATATATAGGTAGCTCTTATAGAGTTTAAAATAACAAATAAGGAGGAAGAGGTTCTATATTACCGCTTTTTCCCAATCGATTTTGATACCCTTAGGGGGGGTTGGCCTTTTTACAATCAAGCTAGCGCCCAGCTACAAGCTATTTGTAAGCCCGCTGTAACCTCTAAGCACCTAGAGTGGGTACGTTAACATAGTTATACAAGGGGGCAACTACTTAGTAAAAGAGGGGGTTCTAGTAACAGCTATACGCTTGATTACTACTTATTTTATCTTTTTATCCTTCTTTTTATTTATTATTAATATTAGTTTAAAAAATTATGATATTTTTTAATATCGCTCCCTATAGCTATACCTCGAATTAATATCGGGAGCGTTAAGGTTGTTTGTACGTAAATAGCTATATAGAGAAACTCTATCCGTACGTAGAAAAAAAAGCCAACTTCAATAATACTTTTCTAATACTTACAATTATAATAGAGGATTATAAACTGTATTGTAATTTTTCCTTATTTTTTTCTTTAATTTACACTACTTAGTACGTTAAGGTAAGTGCCTTTAGCGTTGAAAAATCCTAGGAGATACGAGGGAAATATAAATAAAATAACAAAGATATTAAAAATTTAAAAGGGGCTAAAAATGTAATCTAGCCAATGTATAGCCTAGTAATAGGAGTATATATTATAGGACTAGCCGTAACTGCCTAGCACATACACGGCTCCTACTATAGGCAGTCGAACTTCGTATTACGCTATTACCGCTATTGGCTAATGGTACATTACGTATATATACACGTACGCGAGCCTGTGCTTAGGGATTCAGCCTTCGTACCTCGCCCTATATCGCCAAACCTATATATACCTCTCTTTCCCTCTCTTCGTGCAATTATACAATTTTAGCCTACCCTATACTGATTACTTTATTCTATAATAATTAATTATTCCTACTATTACGCTGCGAGCGTACAATCAATTAATTGCCGCTATTGTAAGTATTTTTAATACGCTTACGATTATCCTATTATACTATAATAATTTCCAGTTATATTATATTATTAAGTTCGATTCCGAATTAACTTTATTAAATTGTACTACAATCCCCCGCGCTTATAAAGTAGTACGCTTCTTTTAATTATAAGGTAGTACTATTTACCCTTATATTAATTTAATTAATCAATATTGTCCGTTACTAATATAAACGTTACTATTTCTATTATCGGTTTAATTATTGACCCCGTAAATGAATAATTGTTTGATAACCTTATAAAGGTATTTAATAGTAGCCCTAACCCTAGCGCCCCAATTAAATAGAATATTCCTAATACTACTTCTAAATTTACTGATTACTCTACTTTCGCTCCTACAATTATTGTACTTACCCGATTCATTCGTTAGAGTATAATTAATACTAATACCTTTATTACGGCCGCCAATGATGCGTTTGAAAATAGGAATATACTTATTATTATATTTATTAATAAAATCGCCCTTTTTCAAAAGTAATCTACTATTGCTTAGAGTAAACTAACTAATTCCGACTTTGCCCTTAATATTACTAATAAAACTAATAGTAAATTTAACAAGGACTATACTACCAACCTTCGTAAAAAAATTAATACTATTAAAGAATTGAAAAAAACCGTCCGCTAATATACGGATAGTAACCTGGCGGACCCTTCCTAAATTATTAACCCGGATAATAATACTAATATTATATTAACTCCGAAATTAAAAATTAATAAAGACTCCGATATTTTTACCGGCGAAGGTAATACGGCTGTTAAATATACCGAATTTTACTACGCTTAGCGTACTAAAATTGAATTATATTAATTCTGAAATACTTAGTACTTTAATTAGGATGAGTACTATAAAGTCGCTTAAGTATTTTAATACCTAAGTAGTATTGTTTTCTATACTCTATCTCCCTAAGTAATATCAATACTAAAGGAGGCTGATAAGGATAAGTAGAAATGGAAGACTAGCAAATTCTTACTTACTTACTTTAATACTAAGTACGATCGTATAGATTCTACCCTCGAATTGCGTTGCGAATTCGAAACTCTTAAAATAATTAAAAACTAAAAGTAATTCAATTTTAAGGATAAATTTATTACCCTCGTAGATTACTACAAACTAAATAACTCTATAAAAACCTATTACTTAAAGATGAAGGTTACTAATAAAGTCCGTAATACTATCGCCTATTAGTAAGAATTCCCTACCCTTGATAATTATAATAAATGATTTACTGTAAGAGGGCAGCCCGGGGAAAGTTGGCAGTCGGGACGACTAATGGGCAAGCACTGGCAAGCCCAACAGGGCGCTCAACTGCCCGCACGTTGGGGTATAAAACCCAACGCCGCGGAACCTCTAGACAGTAGTTAGAACATTAGACAATCAATACCATTAGATCATTTCCATAACCAAGGGCCGTTCATCTCACAATGGTGCCCAATAACAGTTGATGTGAACTGTTCATCCTATACTATACCATTGGATTTCTTTTAGAAATTATCTCTTTATTAACTACGCTTCGCTCGGCCGCTGCACTTCGCACTGCGAGCTGTATGTTGGTTCCCGTACCGCCGTTATTTAACCAATTAATTATTATTATTTATTAATGCTATATTTAAGATGGATTTAGCTGACCCGGCGACTATTAGAGATTTGCGCTATGTATTGGATTTTATTTATCTAAACCTACGCTTTCGATAGATCGGACGGCTAAACCAATTAAAACGTGAAGTATTTAACCGAATTATTGCGATTCTACCTCCTCCCGACGAGAATGCGTCGATCGCCTTATTATCTATAATGCGGTTAATACATTAATTATAATGAGTACCTTTAGCTTCCTATCCGGAAAATTGGACTTTTGATTATTATGTTCCTAAACAACTCTTTAATGTAGCACTCAAGCTCGTACCGCCGCCTCAACCAACCCCTCCTACAATCGAACGAGACGATAAATACTAAGATGATTAACCGGTTATCGAATAGTAACCGATTATTATACCTCTCCCTACTATAAAAGAATAAGACGATAATTAATTACCCAATTATATTAATAATAAGCCGACTGTTCCCTAATACGATAACTAAAACAACCAGACGCCCGAAGTTATTAACGAACCACTCCTCGAATAGGGTACTAGTAACGATCGTCCGGTTGAACGATAATAACCTCCGTAAATTAAATAAAAACTACCAACTTTAATTATACTAGTAGAATTACCTCTTCTATATCTATAGTTCAATAATTAATAGCTCGAATAGTTGCCGGTGACTAATATTAAGGAAGATGATTGACTAATTGATAGAGGGTAAACGCCGATTATATTGTTTAAATTCGATGCCCGCAATTTTTTCGACTCTACTAACGAGCCTTTCTCTTCCCCGGAGATCGACTCCTTCCCTTCCCCGAAAATCGACCCCGTTATCGACAATAAGAATTCGTAACGTCCTAACATTAATATAGAAATGGTGGGAGGAAGTATTGTTGAAATTGAGCCGTAGAATGTACTATATAATATTAGTATAGTAGATATTAGTAATCCGCTAATACTATTTAATTTATATAGGTTGAATTTAGTCTAGAATCCCTATAATCGTTAACCGTCGGCCGAATTAGATATCCTTATACCCAATGTACTACCTAACGCAACAACGAATCTAATTAATCGTATAATTTAATATTTAGTAAATATTGGATTCCAATAGACTTCCCTGCTGGTGATGCTAGAGTAACCTTTAGTATACTTATTATTGTAGAAAATTCAAAGTAGAGCGGTAATTATAATTTCCTCCGATTTAAATTCGATTTCCTTTAGTAAATCGAATAGTACTCTAGAAATTATACTAATAAATTGAGTATTATGGCAATCATCCCTCGTGAAAATTAGAAGGAGTAATTTAATCGATCCGCCGGTTACCGGCGTAATTAATTTAAATTTATTAACGGCCCGCTATTAATTACCTCTAGCCGATAATAAGCGATCGTTATTAAACCGAACGATATTATTAGAATCTCCTAAGAAGGTACCAAGGCAGAAGAATTATTGAATTCCTTCCTTACTATTATAAAATAAATTAAGAGGCGTTTAATTAATAACGCTATTAAGGCTATTAAAATAGTAGAAAGGGAAGGTACCCGCTAGAACGAAATCCCTTAAATTAATCGAAACCCTAGTCCTAAATATTAATCTCCCTTATCCTTATACCCTCTAGTATAAATTGTGAGGCCCTCCTGGTATTATATTCGTACTATTATTAAAATTATTAAAGCCCTACTTACTAATATAACCCTTATTTTCCTCTAATATCTTTAGATTACCTCCTAGAAATTAATATATAATTAAACTACCTTTTAATTCCTAGTCAATTGGAGAGTAACTATATAAGATATTATAGAGCCTACTTTATATACTCCGTAGGCTCTAAATAGTTATTCAACGCCGCCGTTAACTAATTAAGTGAAAAATTAGTAAAATAAGTTCCGTATAGGTAGATAATAGTAGTAATACTACTATTAAAGATGATAATTATAGTAAGAATATTAGTAATAATAATAATATTACTATAATCACAGAGTTGGAAATATTGAACGTTGATAAAAAGCTCCGCTATATTATATATATTATTAGAGCTACGGGTAAGATAAATAATAATAAATTCAAAATTATAGCTAATCGTTTCGCTACTTCCCTTTAATCTATTATATTTAGCGGTTAGAAAATT